CTGCTGGGAAAATTCATCTTGTATGCTGTAATGATATACAGTGGTTGTATAAAAAATACTTAAAAAAAAAACAAGGTAAGATGATTCTGAGCTTAAGTGTTCTTACTTATTCTCATTCTGGGAGAGTGGGAAGGGGCAGCAGGAAGTAGCCACTGGCCCTCCGTATCGCCTGCGCTTTCTTTGTCTTTGGTTCTGGCTGCTGACTGAGACTCCTCATGTTTGCAGGTGTCTGGCTGTGGGCAGCAGCAGCATGGTGTGCCGTGTGGCAAACATCCTGGTTCCATTCACCGTTTTCCTGAGCAGCATTTGGATCTTCATACCACAGGTGTCCACTGGCCTCTAGGGCTTCACTGGGCTGGCAGAGAGGCAGAGTCGCTAGTTGTCCTCTACATTTTTATTTATTAGAAGCCAGTTTATATGTTAATAATGAGGTTTGTAGAAACATGATGAGCAGCCTACCTGTTGGTAAGTAGGGTGCTGATCATTGGGGTTGTTCTGCTCTTGTTTTTAAAGTTGATTTCTTCCATGAGTGAGAGAGAGCACCCCAACAGGGTCCCTATGCTGAGATCCACCCGAACATCACCCAGCCCTGCAGATCAGGGGCACACAGAGGCTCCTGGAACTCAGGGAAGTCTATGGACACAAACCTGGAACTCCCCTATGTGGGTCCGCCTTGCGGAGTGTTGTGTTTTATTGTTCTGCACCGTTTGGCTCCCGACGGCTGCTTTCTTGTCTGTTGGTCGCCTTCTGAAACCACTGAGCTGTTTATTACAACTCTGCCTGCCAGAAAAGGGTCTGTCCTTACCCTTTCCAGAAAGCCAGAGCTCCAGCAGGAAGCTCTGGTCTCTGTCTTCCCTCAGTGCCTCCGCCCTGCCCTGGTGAAGCCCTTGCCTCTGCCTTTCTGCTGTGTGCCTGCTGGTCCAGGGGAATTCTGGAGGCTGTGTTCTCCAAGAATTCTGTGGTGGCTGATGGCTTAGGATCTGTGGTTTTCAGCTAGCCTGAACCGGAAGGGGAGGCTTCCCTTCTGCAACCTTCGGGCTCCAGCAGCGGGAGCTGCAGGCCCCATAACGAGAAGGGAGAATACTGCACTCAGCTTGCAGATTCCCTCAGGTGGGACTGAGAGGAGGGGGGTGACGGGAGCGTGTTACACCTGAGCTTAGTCTGACCCACTGTAGGAGGAGATGGGAGACAGGAGGTCAGGAAGAGAGGGGGTGTGCAGAGTGCCCCACTCACAGCAGGGACTCGAGGGAACCCTTGGTTTGCCCGCTTTGCTCTCCTCTCCAAGCTCTCTCCTCAGTTTCTTTGGGATGGCTCCCTCCCAGCTGCCTCCTCTTGCTCCCCTGCAGGACTGCTTCCTTCTTTTTCTGATCATCCCTTAGAGACTCATTCTCCAAGCTGCTGTCCTGGCTCTCCCTGCCCTCCCTTCCGAGCTGCGGACCTGTGTGTCCACCAGCTTCGTGGACCTTCTCCCTGGGTGTCTTTACAACACATCTGCCCTCCCCAGAGGATGGCCTCGTGCTCCAACTTCGGCATCACTTGTTCTTCTCTCTGTTCTTCTTTCCCATTCTCCTTACAACCCATTAATCAAGTCCCCACGTTCTTCCTCCAAACCACCGCTGCGTGCCTGCTGGCAGTGTCCAGGTCAGTTCCTCACCGCCGCCTGCCTCCCAGGTCCTCTCCCTTCACTCTGTCACTCCTCCCCATCAAGACAGCACACTCCTGCCACCCTCAGAATAAAACTGAGACTCAGCCAATATCCAGGGCCTTTCCAGATTGACTCCCTGCCCACCTGCCTGGCTTTGTTTTGTTTCCTGGGGCAGCTTCCCTCTCTCCTCCATGCTCAGCCTCCTTCTTGTTCTCATCTCCCACCCCCACCCCCATCCCCCGTCC